TAAGGCCACGGGGCATGGGCTGGGGCTGATGCAGGCAAGGGAAGGTGCTGCCTGGCTGCCAGCCCTCGGGGTGGGCGGGAGGGGTCTGGCTTGAGGGCCTGGGCGGGGGAGTTGTTGAAGGGGCGTGGCTTCAGGCAGATGGGGCGGGGCTAGGGGTGGCTCTCCCCAGCTGGGGCATCCCATGCCACTGGGCCCAGGTGTGCCTCGCCCAACCGCCCCATACCATAGAGGCGCCCAGCCAATCACTGAGCGACTGGGGAGCCCCTCCCCCCACAACGTATGGAGGTGCCTACGTGAGCCAAAGGGGCGATGCTGAACCACTAGGCCCTGCTACTCGCCGGGGAGCTGAGCCCTGGCCTGCTTTGTGCTGCACCAACCCCACCACTCAGCATTTTGCCCAGTGGGCGGGTGTGCAGCAGGAGTCCCACTGGTTAACGCCCCCTGCGCCCTGCGCCCCAGACCTGCAGGGCTCTGCTCCCATCTCCAGTTGGTGCCTGAGCTGCTGCCCATGGGGGGAGGTGTGGCCTTGCCTAGTTGTACTGGAGCTAAATCAAAAGGCTCTAGCTGCTGCACCAACCCCACCACTCAGCATTTTGCCCAGTGGGCGGGTGTGCAGCAGGAGTCCCACTGGTTAACGCCCCCTGCGCCCTGCGCCCCAGACCTGCAGGGCTCTGCTCCCATCTCCAGTTGGTGCCTGAGCTGCTGCCCATGGGGGGAGGTGTGGCCTTGCCTAGTTGTACTGGAGCTAAATCAAAAGGCTCTAGCTGATGGCGGGGGGAGGCTGGATACTGGAGCTCCTCCCCCCCTCACCCCCCCAAGCTGCAGCCTCGTGTCTGGACATGCTCGTGCTGGGCCGTGCCTTGGCCACCGTGTAGCAGTGTCGCTGGCGGGCACCCTGCGGCACCCTAGTCTATGCCCTCAGCGCGGACACCTGCAGGGGGCATGGAGGCTGCTCCAAATCCCTCCTCCCCGTCACACTGGTGCAGGGGGCTGAGGCAGGAACATCCCAGTTGAGTGCCCTGGCTCTGGGTACACGCCCACGGCACCTGGCAAACTGGCCACTGCAATGCTCAGACCCAGGCGCCTGCGGGGCCTACAGTGTGGGGCGGAGGGGATGCTATGGGCCACCAGCCCTACCAAGGGAAACGAGGCTAGGGGAACCAGGCTGGCCGCTCCGGGCCGGTGGGGGGGGACAGGCTGTGACAGCTGCCCCAGCTCTCCCCCAGGCCTGGTGCACCACAAAAGGCAGGCGCGGGACTTAGCGGGGCGCACAGCCAGGCTCGTGCCTCGGGTCAGAGGGTGCGTCCACCCAGGCGACGGAAATGGGGGGAAGCTCCCCGAAGTGGCCAGCTAGGCCTAGTTGTCTCCGCTTCTCCATGAGGCAGGGCCCACCCTTGGGTCGCTCGCTTCTTTTCAGACCCCCGCCCCACCTGCAGCCCTTTGCCACGACACAGCGCACAACCCAGGCGGCCTGGTTGGGCCCCCCCCCCGGATCACAGCCGTTCGCCAGCACACCTAATGTGCCCTTATGCTCTCTTGTGGCTCCCAGGCAGCTCCACTGGGTGTTGAACTCTGTCCGTCCTCCCTCCGGGGCCATGCTGCTTGGAGCCCCAGATCGCCGTGCGATGGACGCACCCCCTAGAGACCCCAAAACTGGGCTTGTTTCGTCTGGAGCAGACTGAGAGGGGACACGAGAGCAGCTTTCAATTTCCTAACAGAGTGTGACGAGGAGGAGGGAGAAAAATTGTTCTCCTTGGCCTCTGAGGACAGGACAAGGAGCAATGGGCTTAAACTGCAGCAAGGGCGGTTTAGGTTGGACAGTAGGAAAAACTTCCTGCCTGTCAGGGTGGTTAACCACTGGAATAAGTTGCTTAGGGAGGCTGTGGACTCTCCATCCCTGGAGATATGGAGGAGCTGGTTGAACAAACACCTGTCAGGGATGCTGTAGACGGTGCTTGGTCCTGCCGGGGGGAGATGCTTAGGACACGGGCATTCACCCAGTCTCCCGGTCCGCACCGTGGAACGGCGTCTGGCATTAGCACAAACAAGGCGGAGGCCTGGATGTTTTCCATAGGGAATAAAAGCTTTATTGGCTAGCCTTTCGGCCATGTCCCCGGCCCTCCCCCCTAGAGGAATTCCCTCCCCGGAACAAGAGACAGTCAACAAAGTGGCACTGCTCCCGAGCAGGCAATATTAAATACCGTGGCTTACCAGGACCACAATAAATAATGGCTTGGTATAAATAACAATAATAATGAGGCATGCTCGCACGCACACACAAACCAGCATTCACAATAAGGACACAGGGTGCTCCAATAAATAGCTTGTCCGCAGTCGGGCCCGCTGGCAGCCAGAGGGTTGGATCGGGCTCAGGGGTTTGCCAAAGAGAAGGAGTCAGCGGAGGAAGCCTGGAGTGGGGGACACCCCACCGCCCTCCTCCCCGGGGCCAAATCCCTGGCCTCGCATTGCCTCCTCCAGCTCTGGGCACTGCGGCACGCATCAGCCCAAACGAAATAAATAACCAATAAATACACAGCACATATCAGCGGCACGGCTCGCGGGCCCTACTCCCCTTTGGCCCAGCTGTGGGCCGGACCCAACCTTGTGGGCGGCCCACGGTTCCCTGCGCTGCACGTCCCAGCTCACTGGCCAGCCAACGGGCTTGGATTCGGTAGGGAACTACACGCATGGCCCCCCCTCCCAGAGAGCATCGTAAGGCTGCCCAGTGACACAGTCGAGGACAATGCTCAAAAAACATTACACACCATGCCCCTGTGGGGCAGAGTTAAGGGTATGCCGCCCCCCAGCTTTGCCTCTTGCTTCACTGGGCAGCTTTTACTGCCAGGTTTTCCCGACCAGAATGTCTTTCTTTTTCTTGTTTTTTAAGTCGAGCTTTCTATTAGGTGACAGGTGTTGTGCCTGGCACAATGCAGTCACCTGACTCCATATGACTTGCTCCTAGCCTATCCACCCTAGGGCCAGCTAGGCATGAGGGCTGTAATTAACACACAAACAATTGACTGAGCCCCCGCAACCGGCCAGCGTCCTGCAGCTAATGCCGGTTGCTTCAGAAGAAGGAATGCCTTCCCCCACGCCTCCCAAGAGAGGCACCTTACTGTGCCAAACTCAAGCAAGGAGGAAATTCCTTCCTGACCCTGCCGGCTTATAGGCAGCTGGGGCCCTGACGCATGGGAATCCACAGGCCTTTTCATGGCGTTCACCTGCAGCTTGTGCGTGGCAGCTGCTGGGTTGGATTTCGGGGTCACCTGGCGGCCGGCGGGCTAGCAGGCGGGTTGCAGGGGTGGGGTCCCTCGTGAGGGGCAGGGACACGGTTCCATAGGGCCTACCATTGCAATAAATAATAAATGCTTTAAAACAAACATACTGAGGGCGTGACACAGTCACGCAATGGATCTGGGGTTCACACGCCGGAAACCGGCTGGCTCCCTAGGAGGTCGGCCGCTCCTGCGTTGCCGGCGCCTGCTCAGCCGCTGGCCCCAGGGAGGACGCAGGGGCAGCCCACCCGCACC